AGAGCACCCACTATGGTTGCGTTAACTCGGTGATTTAGCGTTACCCTAACGCTAAAATACCAACAGGTCCACTATGGACCTGTTTTAGACCTGCGGTCCGTACGGCTGCGTCAAGTCTTGCACTTCGTGTGCTCAGATTTACGCAAGCCTACGACTTGATTTATCGTAGGAACTAGGGAAAGCAGACGATAAATCATCCCATAGTGGATTTCACGCGGTTACCAACTTTGGTAAAACACGCATGATCAAACTTCGCGCTCAGGAACGCAAACTTTACGATAAAACACTCCCACCATAGTGGGTGCTCTTACCGCACTCGATTTACCGCACGAGTGCGGATGCTCTAATGAAGTTTTTACTACCTTGAAGTAAATTAAACTTCAAAATTCACCAATGAAAAACAGACAATACAGTGGTTGCTGTTATTAAATCCAGTTAAAAACTGAAATTTCAACTTTATCATTTTTTCTTGATGTCCAAGATATAATGAAACAGTAGTACCCTTTTAGCAAACTTATCTTGTAAGTCCTACTCGCGTAGCCCCAGAGTACCTCGTACGATAAGTTTGCCTTTATAGGGGCATTCCGGGCCCTTTTGAAACTGGCTGCAATTTGCTTTGAATCGCTGAGTAATCTCAAGCAAATTGAGAATCATCTTGAATTGGGTTTTGGACCGGCGATTTTGGAAATAGAACGATCATTTGAGTTCGACTCCTAAATAACCATAACTCCGTCTGAGGTATGATGATCGATTGACTATTGACGACCTAGACCATGTGCATTATTGACCGATTGATGTGATAAAGGGGATTGGCTGAATCATGTATTTAGTTTGGACACGATCGATTGGGTCCTGACTTGAAGTGTTCTTGGCTGGAATGAATATGATTGGTCTGAGTCGACCGAGTACATTTTCGGTTGGAAAGGATCAAGTCTTGGAAATGCAGGCTAGAATTCAGACAGGGCTGAAAATGGCTGAAAGTTGAATTTGTAAATTTTTAGACAATAAAGTTATGTAGGCTGTATTTGGTAGTCGGATCGGAGCTTGGAGTTTTTCTCTGGTTTTTGTGGATCCGCATAATTTTAAGTTTGAAGTTTTTTCACGTGCATTTGAAACAGATTTCAACAAGTTTGAAAATTTGGTCAACAAACCAAATTAAAATTAAAATGTATAGGCAGTCAGTTCATCCATTCTTTGTCCCTCTGAACCTCAACTTCAACCTCAACCTCAACCTTGACTTTTTAATAAATTCAATTTGATTCCTAAACCAACTTCAACTTCATCACTCATATCACAACTTATATCATCATCATCATCATCAACAAACCATGTCATCAATCGATTCAGTTGAGAATCGATTCAATCAATCTATCCAAACATTCAAATCACATCTGATCACTTTAAACCAACTTCAACAACGTTCTCATCATGAAGTTTTAAAATCATTCAATCATTCAAATTCACTTCAACTTTCAAATCAAGCTATTCAAATCCTTTCACATTTCTTAGATGATAAACTCAATTTATATCGATTTTTAAAGAGAGAAAAGTTTGATATCGAAAACACGTTGAAACTTCTTTCAAATACATTACAATGGAGACTTGATTCTCAAATCGATTTACTTTCATCATCTTCAATCGATCCATTTTACCTTCATCAACCTTTATTCTACTTTCACCCTCAACTCAAGGATAAATGGAATAGGCCTTGTGGTGTACTCAATCTTAAACACGTTAGTCGGACTGAGGATGGAACTTTGGATGGTTTGAAGGAATTCATTGCTTGGTCCTGGGAACTTGGTCGTCGGTACATGCAAGACTCTAATTCAGATTCACTCAACACTCTCCTTTCTCAATCCGATAATCTAAACCCGAACTCTGATACCGAGTCAGTTCCAATTCAGCTTCAAATGGTTATTATTGTTGATCTCAAGGATGCCTCTCTCAACAATCTGGTCAGTTTTTTCCCTTATTCGAAACTCTCCTGATATCATCTTACTAACTCGATTCTTGAAGTATAGGAACTCGAATTACTCCCATATTTCATGGATCTACTCAAGAATAATTTTCCAGGAATGGTGGGAGCCATCTTTGTCCTCAACTACGGTTGGATGTACTCAGGAATGTGGCAAGTAGCCAAAAGAGTTTTACCTCAATCTACACTTGATCGGATCATGTTTCCAAATCAAAAAGAGTTGTTGAAGTTCTTCAATCCTTCCAATTTATTAACCCAACACGGCGGAAAACTCGAATATCAATACCATCATCTCAATAATCCAATCATTAATCTATATGGGAAACCACCTTCTGTTACCACCACCACCACTACTACAGCGCCACCCATCAACACTACCTTGCCTACAGAAGAACCAGCAGAACTTGACGACCAATCCACTCCGAACATAATTCCCATCTCTGCATTGTCACCTAGCTTATCCCGACGATCTAGTCTAGAATCTTTGCGAGATCTCTTCTTCTCAGCTCCTACTACACCTTGGGCAACATCATATCCGGGAACCCCGCCAAGAGCTCATGCTCGTCCAAATTGGTTAAGTATGACCACCGTCCATACAGGACATCATACACCTGTTGGCAATCATCAACGGCATCATTCACTCTCGGTCTCCAAGTTTGGAGAAGCTATACGTGAAAACCTTTTGAAAAAAGTTCAAAGGGAAGAATGGAATGAAGCACCATTACTTCGGTCTACAAACCCATTAAGGGATTTTAGACTTCACCTTCCTAGTAGGAAATTGACTGCTGAAACAGAAGAACTTACACCTACCAATTCGGATTGTTCAGCTACTGTTGTACCTGATGAGGAAGAAGAAGATCAAGAAGCTGATGATCAGAGTCCACCTATGCAAATCTCGATTTCTTTACCTGACCACTCGACTTCTTGGAATAGTTCAACTAAAACTGATCATAAGGATTACAAACCAAAAGGACAATGGCTCATTAAGATTGGTTCAACATCTTCAATTGTAGATACCTGCCCA